AGAAGGGGGAAACTAACAACGACAAAGAAGAGCAGTTTTAAATATATTGTTGGGTCATTGAGATGGCTCAGCAGGTAAAGTTGCTTGCTGCTAAGCCTGACAACTTGAGTTCAATCACCAGAACCCACAGTAGGGCAGGAGACAGGACAGGACTGACTTCTGCAAGTTATCCACTGAACTCCAAAGGAGAGCCAACACACACACACACACACACACACACACACACACACACACACACACACACACACGAGTACACACACACACACACACACACACACACACACACACACACACACCCCATATAAACAAATTTTATAAAGAAAACGTAGATAGTGTGGCCTTCAGTTTTGGCCCTAGTCTCCCGCTTGCTGTAAACTTAGGAGAGTCATTTTCTTTTCTGGTCTTAAGAACCCCTGGGCCATCAGACAAAAAGAATGAAAGGGGGGCTTTGTCAGTTTTAACATTCAAAGATCTGAATTGTGCTCTCTTTCCTGCGTCTTCTGTCCTCCCACAATATTGCCATTCAACATTATCCACTTTCTCCTGTCTTAAAATCAAGAAGTCCTTCCTGAATCTCCAACCCTTCCCACCCAAACTTTTCCAAAGAGCTACCTACCCACCATTGTCTGTCAGCTCTCCAACCCACTGCAGTCTGGATTCCATCCTTACTACTACACCAGAGTATACATAGTTCATGCTTCAGTAACTCATGAGTTTGTACTGTCAAGTCTAACAGGACACATAAATCCTCAATTTCCAGTACCTCTCAGCAGCATGTGAAGTAGTTGTCTTCTCTCTCTGGCTTCTGCCTCATCGTCACCTTGAATGTAACTTTTATTTACCTTTTCCTGAGAGAAAGGGATAGTTATGTTCTTCTCTTTGGCTCACCACAAAGCCTTAGCCCAGAAAATATGTGCACTAATAATCCCCAAGCAGATGAGACCCTGTCCTGTGTTCTAGATTGGTAAAATCAACAGCCTGCTTGTGTGCACAGGCTCACCTAGTACACACTGAGCATCTTCACACAGAAGTGAACCTCCTCCAGTAGTAGTATCTTGGTAAACATCTATACACATTGTTGGGATACATAAACCTCACCTCAGCACGTCTTGACTCCAGCTTCCAGCCATTTTCATGTACCTTTCTGTGCCTTCCCTGATGTAATGCCACACCCTAGACCTGATTCTCATCAGATCTTAACATGCTTATAGCAGCCTTTTAAATATCTTCTTGTCTCTCATTCTTCCCTCCAACATCCATTTTCTGTCAAGCCCATACTGTCTTTTGTAGCTCAGTTTATAGAAGTTTAACTTACATATAATAAAATTCACCTTTTTTAGTGTTGAAGTTTTGTGAGTTTTGACAAAGGTGTACAGTTATGTAGTTACCACCCTATAGCATTTGAAATGTTTCCAGTTTTGTCTGTAAGTCTCTGTATACTTGTTTTAGTGTAAATAAAAGTTTTCATTGTTCCTAGTAAATACCGAAGAATGGGATTGGTGGGTATCAAAGCAAGTTTGTGTTCAACTTTACAAGAAACTACCAAATTGTTTTTCAAAAAGACTGAACCATCCAAGTTCCCACAATTGCTCCACTTGCTCATATGCCACCTCCACAAACACATGCTCACTAATCATTCCACTAAGTTCATAGTGGTACCTTATTGTGGTTTAAATTTGTGTATCTATATGACAAACGATATGTAGAGTCACATATCTATAAACTATATATTGCCTATATGTAGTGATTTTTTTATTTTTTGCTCTTTACTCCTTGGGGGCCTGCCACCCAGCTCCCAAATAAATACATAGAAATTTATTCTTTTTATGAATGCCCAGCCTTAGCGTGGCTTATTTCTAGCCAGCTTTTCTTAGTTTATGCTATCTACCTTTTGCCTCTGGGCCTTTACCTCTCTCTATTCTATATGTTTGTTTTGTTTGTTTGTTTGTTTGTTATTTCTTACTCCATTGCTGGCTGGATGGCTGGGTAGCTGGCCTTTGGCATCTCCTTTCCTCTGCTTTTTTCACTCCTCCCCCTTCACCTTTTCTCCTTTTACTTATTCTCTCTGCCAGGCAACCCTGCCAGTCCTTTCGTCTGCCTAGCTATTGGCCGGCCATTCCACTCTTTATTAGACAATCAGGTGTTTCATACAGGCAAAGTAAGACAGCTTCACAGAGTTAAACAAATGCAACATAAAAGAATGCAGCACATCTTTGCATCGTTAAAGAAATATTCCACAGCATAAAGGAATGTAACACATCTTCAACTAATATTTCACAATACCTATATATAAACATACATCTGCAGCAGTGTATCTACTGAAATCCATCTTTTGTTTTCACTGGCTTTGCTCATACTCCCAAATCTCCTCTGTTTTGAAAGTTGTTTTTAATATTAGATAAAATCCTCATTCTCATACAAGTGTGTGTGTCCTGAATCCAGAACACTGTGTGTGCTTAGACAACCTTCCTATCACAAGGTACATCCCAGCTCAACATTTTTTTATTTTGATGGCATGTAAGTAATCAATTCAGTCTTTTCATATATTTGATATTGAATGCCTGCACTTTTGTCCAACCTAAGACTAGGATTACTGTAGTTTTATACTAAGTCTTGAAGTCAGGAGGTTTGCTCTTTCTAACATACTTCCTTCTCATTCCAAGTAGAAGCATAGGACTGTGGTGGTATTCTAGAAGGTCTACAGCACTGAGCTGAGCCATACAGAACTTTAAAACCAGGACATTTAATCATAATGTTTGTTCCTTATCACAGAACTAAAGAGGTGACCGTGACTTTAAAGGAGTATAAAAAGTGATATTGTACAGACAATTAAAAATGAAAAGCCCATGACTCAGAAGATGGCTTAGTCAATAAAGTGCTTGCCAAACAAGCATGAGGAACTGAATTCAGATCCCCTGTGTCCGTGTTAAAAAGAGGGTTGTGGTGGCATGTGTCTTTAAGCCCAGTGCTATAGGGAGCAGAGAGGCAGA